ACGTTTCAAGCCATGTCATGATTATCATATTCGGACATTTCATTTACCTTTATCGGCCAATATTGTTACGTGAAACGAAATTCGGCATATGTGGAGCTAGCGAAAGGGCCGCGGCTACACTATGAGCATAGCATGTAGTCATGTTGTACATAACGCGTATATGATGATTATGATATTTGAACGCGGCATTTGCCTTCGTCATCTATTCCCGTCACGTGATACCAAATTTGGTATATGTGAATCTAGCGAAACGGCCGCGAGCGCATCATGAACATATATGTTGTCATGTTCTTCAATGACAAGCATGTCATGATTATTCTGTTTGCACCAGCCATATACCTTCGTCCCCCATTGACATCACGTAACACCGAATTTGGTATATGTGAAGCAGCGAAACGACCATGAGCACACCATAACCGTGGCATGTAGTCATGACTTACATGACATGCATGTCATGATTTCCATGTTAGGGTCTCTCACTTATGTTAATGTCCTACTATACCAGTTTTGCAATATGTATATTGAACAAAACTACCGCAAGAGCAGCAAGAGTATAAAATAAAATTCATAACATTCATCACATTTGTATCATGATTTTTGTGTTATGACAAGACAGTTATACTGATCACACAGTCACGTTATGCCATACAAGTTTTGGTATCGATACCATTATTGAAATGGCCAGGAGGGCTAAACGTCGTAGGCCACTATAGATAGATAGATAGATAGATAGATAGATAGATAGATAGATAGATAGATAGATAGATAGATAGATAGATAGATAGATAGATAGATAGATAGATAGATAGATAGATAGATAGATAGATAGATAGATAGATAGATAGATAGATAGATAGATAGATAGATACGCTCAAAGTCGCCGAAGTTTGCTAAGAAATTAATCGCATTGAATCAATTTTGTTTATCTAGCGGCAGTCAACTGCAGCTAGATAATGTCAGCACCATTATTGCACTTCCTCAGCACGACCACTCACTACGTCTTTCACCGCGTTTCTCTGTGTGACATACCGACTCAAGATCATAGGTTCACACTCACGTTCACAATCACGATTATTCACACTAAAAAATATTCACTCAGATTCACGCTCACGGCTACTCACACTTGTGTACTCATTTACGTTCATGATCACGCCTACTCGATCACCCTTATAAGTGCTCACGCACGTTTCCACTCGCGACTACTTATACTGAGTGCTCACTAGCGTCCACTTACAATCATGAGAACTCACTCCCACTCAAAACTACTCACTCCCGTTCATACTCTGAACTACTCATTTTAATGAGTGCTTTCATACTAACGAGTACTAATTCTCATGAGTGCTCACTCAGGTTCACACTCACGCCTAATCACACTCATGAGTACTCACTTATGTTCATACTTGCTTGTACTCATACTTGGAGTACTCACTCAAATTCATACTCACTTCTACTCACACTCACTCCTATTCATACTCATGAATACTCACTCATACTGACCTCGCTCAATTGAGTATGAGGGAGTGTACTCATGAGTGAGTATGCCGAGCTACGCAAACATGTAAGAAAGACTCTTCAACATTTTGGAGAAATATTGCTTTGCTAGATTCTCAAAGGCTGATATTTCTTTCAGGGAAAAGGCACTGGAAAGGGCCCTCCATGAGTCATCAAGAAACAAAAAAATTTGGCGGGAAGGAAGGCGAGAGGTGGGAGCACAGAACTTGTGTGCCACCCCCTGGCTACGCCAATGGCGCAGCGGAGCGAGATGCGCGTCAAGTCTAACTACTTTGCGGAGGAGTACATGAGCAGATGCTCCACCGCAATAGCTTTCCCTTCATTGCCAAGAAAAGTTGTCCGCCAGTGTAGAATCATTCATAAGCATTTCGTCTCATGAGAAGGAAGGCCGTTAAAGGATACACCTGTAAATGTGTTTTAAGCAATGTGGCACTATATTAGCTCAAACTCTTTGCGTGAATGCAGAACCATGGCAAGACTTCCATGCATTAGAGACGCGAAAATTCCATAATCAGACCTTCATGCGCAAAACAAAACGACAGAAGATGTCCGAGCCCGTGGAAGTACTGTTTCTAAGCACACTCAAAATAGAACACGAAATCTATGAGAACGATTCAAATGCCATGAAACCATTTGGGGTTACCAGTTCATTCCACGTTGGATTTTGGTAAGGGGCAACAAGTCTGTGCACAAACACAAAGTCTAAACCACACACATACCTTGTAACAGTCTAATCGAGCACTGTCTTAATATGCACGCAATTTCAAAAATCGTCCCCCAAGTACCATACCTAGCAATAGTTGATTGATTGATTGATTTGTGGGGTTTAACGTCCCAAAACCACCATTTGATTATGAGAGACGCCGTAGTGGAGGGCTCCGGAAATTTTGACCACCTGGGGTTCTTTAACGTGCACCCAAGTCTGAGTACACGGGCCTACAACATTTTCGCCTCCATCGGAAATGCAGCCGCCGCAGCCGGGAATCGAACCCGCGACCTGCGGGTCAGCAGCCGAGTACCTTAGCCACTAGACCACCGTGGCGGGGCATACCTAGCAATAGTAAGGTGATATAAAACAACATCTAAGGTTGCGATATTTTCGCTGCATACTCGAGAGGATATCGTCGGCTGCCACCTGTCACTGTTTATTCTCACCGCCAAAAAGAATTTTCCTTTAGGATTGCTTGAGAAAGAAAACACCTTCCATCTATTTCCAGAATGGTTCATGCACTGTGTGGCACGCAGCGGGCAGTCATCTTGCGGGACTTGCGACGAATCAGATGCTGCTTATACGTTTAGGGACTGCAACACAGTTCTTAGGAATCGACGCATCATGATGTTGAGAGGGCGATCTGAGCCTCAAAATGCGTCAGTTCCTATGAACTGTGTTACAGTCCCTTATCCGCACGGTGTTTCACGCATATCGGGAAACGCGCTGGTATAACTGTTGTATTTTCCGCCCCGAAAAAGCTATCAAAGCATTGTAAGTTGTTTAATCATCCAGCTGCAAATAGAGTAAGATGTTCTGTGAAACAGAGAACGCGCTTTTTACATTGTGCTATTAGTGTAGTTTATCTTCTTCCACTATCCTATGGTAAGATATACATAGAGCAAACCGGAATGTGCTAGAACGAGAGCTTAAAAGAGCACAATAATAGTGTACACAATGCGGTTCGAGGATACATCGGAATCTACTATCGAGACAGCGGCAGTGGATTGAGCGCAGGGAAGTAAAAGGCAAGCCCCACTCACAGGCCTCGCGTGAGATAAATAAAGCCTATCAAATAAGTAAGTTTGCCGGTACATGTGTAAGTTTGCCATCAGTTGCGCTATTGCAAAGAGAGATTGCGTATCTCGATCATTTTGAAGCTCTGTATTTGTTTCAATCTCTATCAACAAGAGACAGCAGTTTTTCTGACATTGTATTGCAGTGGTTGTTTACTGAACCCTTCTACGCATGTCCAATCTTTTTTTTACGTATATATGTACACTCCACTATTAAACCATTGCTGAAAGTCAGCGCTCTTTCTATCCTTGCTGTTAGGGGCGAAGCTCCTTAGGGCGTGGGCTGTGCGTCCCCTGTAGCCTGTATGTAGCCACCTCTAGTTTAGTTCTTGCAGTGTTCACTAGATGGCGGTACCGTCCCCTGTATGTAGCCACCTCTAGTTTAGTTCTTGCAGTGTTCACTAGATGGCGGTACCGTCTCCTGTATGTAGCCACCTCTCGTTTAGTTCTTGTAGTGTTTACTAGATGGTGGTACTTGTAGCTGATGATGAAAAGATGCAAGATGTTATAAACTAGAAAACGGTACTTGTAGTTGATGAAAGACGCGAGATCTTATAAAATAGGAATGATGTCACATATGGCGCGTGTCATTCGTTGAAGGCAATCGTTTGATTTAGTGCGGCGACGTACGCTAGGGGGAGCGTTGTAATAAAATCCGTTCGCTGTTGGCGCGCGCTCGGAGTCGCTGGATGGATAAGGCTGCACAGCGGAGAAAGCGCAAGGCGGCAGCAGCGCGCGCTCGCAGACAGAATCCCGATGTGCGAGCGCGCGAGGCAAGGGACATCGCAAGCCATCCATCGTCTAAGAACAAATAAAAGTTGATTTGTGTATATACACACACAGCGTTTCTCACGTCTTTACATGATGATCGACTGGGCGAATTACACGGAAGATTCACAGTTTACCGACGAATCCCTCCGGAGCTTCGCCCATTCATCATCATTCACCCCGTGAATATGCCGTAACTTTTTTTACTTCGATAATTATGCTGTAACTACTATTATGTTGCGCTGTTGGTATATTCAGCTATGTCCTCCCCGCTTGCCCAAGCTTGCACCCTTCATAATCACATTAGATTATACGTAAATTACGTAAATACTTAACGCATAAATGCGTAATGCATAAATACGTAAAATTACTTAATTGCATATATACGCCATTACACGCAAAAGAATGTGTAATGGCACTCGAGGCAGAAAGAAATACAGATTTTAATTCTCACTGTAACGTCCTGAAAAAGTTGCGGGCCTCGATCTTTTTATAGGTAAAAGAGAAACAAGTCCTGTCAGATCTTGAGCTCAGCGAAGCATTCAGAAACGTCTCCAGATCTATGTTCATTTCTTTATTTTGATTTCCTGCTTCTATAAAGCTCCACTTTGCTAATTTATTTTTTCTGACTAGCGGCTTTTTTATATTTGAAAGAGACAATAAAACTTTAGTTTGCGACAACGTGTGCGTTCTCTTCGCCCAGAGGTGGGTGACTTCCTCATTCAGGGATAAGTTCGATTCAGACTTCCACAATTTTTGGCCAGTTCCTCGTAGAGGGTATGAGTCATCCGTATATATAGGGATTGAGAGGAAAAGAAAGAACGATCGCCGAACCGCTGCTGTACTACAGTGTCTTCCGTGCGAGATGAAGCGGTCGCGTAGCGGCAAACCGCTGCGCAGAGCGTCCTCACCTGACCCACGCCCTCAAACACCACTCAAGGTCAGTATGAGCAAGGCGGCTACTTCCCCGTCTCTCGGCTCGCAGTCCGGCTCGCAGCTGGAGTTGCGTTCACGCGACTCGACGCCCACGCCACACTCTTCGTGGTACGACGAGCAGGGCTACCTCAACGAACTCCAGAAAGGGTAAGATGAATTATATGCAGAGCAAACCCATTTCACCATTTTCTCAATAGAGCAGTAGAGTTAATGCTGGTACAGATGCATTCGTCTTTCTTGTCTCGATCGAACTCGTTCAAGCAAACGAACGAAGGAAGAATGTGAAATATTTACAGCTTCCTGCAGTAGTCTTTCACAGTTATTCAAATGGGATCCTCCTGGACCACTTTGCGGTTTTGAGGGTGCCTGTCAGTTCTGTGCTTATTAAAGTTCATCGCATGAAGCCAGTCGCCCGCGCAAGACCAGCATCTTGCCAAATAAGCATGACTCAGTCGTAATGATAATAGTAGTATCTAGAGTTTCACGTGCCAGAACTCCGATGTGATTATAAGGCACCTCGTATAGTGGAGGACTCCGCCAATTTCTGCCATATGGTGTTCTTGAACGAGCCCTGACAGTGCTTCTATCGAGATACGATCGCGGTGTCCGGGATCAAAGTCGCAACCTTCGGGTCAGCATCAAAGCACCATAACCGCTACATCACAGCGGCGAACAACAGCACTCACTCAGGCATCACCAACAATACTACGACTGTCTATAGTTGAAATATAGAGGAAGTTACATACGTGCCTTGTCATAGAATAATTTATTCACTCATTAGTGGGGTTTAGCGTCCCAGAACCACCATATGAATATGAGTGACGCCTTAGTGGAGGGCTCAGGCAATTTCGACCACCTGGGTTTGTTTAACGTGCCCCCAATTTTCGCACATGGGCCTACAACATTTTAAAGTCTCATACAATAAATGAAATTATTTTTCATTCATTTGGCAAGTGAGAAAACACTGTACTATTGACCACAGGGTTACCGATGGTGGGTACTAAGTGTAATACTGGTGTGTGTGACCTCGTCTGGAGACCAAAATTTTAGATAGGCTCCATAGATATTTTCATGCATGACTACTTTAGACTGCAGTTCTGGCGCATTTACTGGCCTTTTACCATTATTCACAGATACAATAGCAAGGAAGCATAAAGATAAATCATAGTTCGTAGGCTTTTTTTTTGTATTGGAGATTCGCGTGCACGATCCCATGGGATCCCTTACAGCGGGGCGCAGCCCGGTAGCAGGTTGCTGCGCATCGAGGTAGGTGCATGGAGGCGCCTTCATGCACGGCGCAGCTGCGAAAAATGAAGGTTAGGCAAATGCGTGGATAAGAAGCTGATGACGCTGCCCGCCATATATGCTGAATTTGAGCACCAGTTTCTAATGCTAACGCTGAGCGCGTGTTCTGTTGAGTGAACAATGCAGAAACAGATACGCAGCGGAATGAAGCTGGGCTGTTATATTTTAACAATATTTCAATTCTTGAGCTGGCCTTATCCTATGGTGATCCTTAGTTTGATTATTGATTTAAGTGATTGCTTAAGGGACCTTGTCAATTTTATTATGTATAAAAAGTAAGGAACCGGAATGCGCACTAACGGAAGGCTCTTGTGCTAGTATTTGTCGTAGGAAAGTATTTCCCACTCTTAAAAAAATGAAGCGACGTTCTCGCCATTTAGGGAGAAACGATGATGCCCTTAATGTTCGTCTTTAAATGGAGAAACATTTTTTCCTTTTGCCAAGGAGAAACTGTTTGTGCTTGTCGGAATCAAGATGGCTGACCCTGCTATCCCGGGTTAGCGAAGCGGCTAGGCCTATAGCGAATGCATCGATTCTTGAGTGATAAGAAGTACACAGCACTGAAAATTGCAAGTAAATGGTCCCGCTGAGCTTGATATCAAACAAAATGATCACAAAATCAAGCAGAACCTGTGGTGATAAAAACATCGCGAAACAGAACGACGGAGCTGGTAGGTTTTGTTCGACCAGTGGGACGGCGTTCACTTTGAAAGAGACAGATACTGCGGAGTTCTCACGCAAAGACTGCATGCTAGGCTTGCTTTATTTATTTCTCGAAGATTCAGATAGTGTAGTGACGTTATGCGCACGTTTACGAGGCCATGTGCCACGAGACGTGCCTCCAAACCATAGACTCGATCTCAGCGAAACGATTCCGGCTCAGCAATGCATAGTTTTGAGGGGTTCAACGTTCAACGTTGAACCCCTCAACGTTATAACGTTATATGTTATAACGTTATAACGTTATATGTTCAACGTTATAAGTAGCTGGAGGTGTGAGGGCACCACGACCATGAAGCTGGCGCTATATAGAGGAATCGAATGACACTGAAATAATGAGCTGTCTGTGGTGAAGTTCGTTGACATACCCGCACAGCTCTTTGGCGGATAGTCGGTGAGTCAGCCCATTCATACAATACTCGCTTACACTGGACGACTTACGTTTGCTGAAATAATGCGTATATACACATGAACATTCGGAAGCATATACATACATTATTACAGAGTGATTTCAATGAATAATGAACAGAGTAATTTCAATGAACGCTTGCCGCAAGCTTGCCATTTTGGATTTTTTTCCCACTTGTTATTCGAAGAGGGCGCAGCATGCAGGGCAGATATTGTTTCCATCGGCACTTCGACTTCATTTAGTTGTCTCGCGTTAACGTTTGTTACATTCTCTTTACGCGCTTTCCACAAGTGTGGTCGGTGCCCATGGATACAGCGCACTGCTAACCCTGCAATGACATTGTTTTTGATGCGGTAACAGCCGTCTCAGTGGGGTACACGTACGTTACAACGCCAGTCGAGCGAGAAAAGTAGGAGATTACCTCACACTAGACTGTGTTCTATCGTGAGCAAAGTCAGTGGCTGTTGGCGTCGCAGCAGCTTGATTGCTTTAGTGAGCGAACTAGCCCTAAAGGGCACGAATTTAGTATAACAATATAGCATATAGCGCCTACATACTTCACTGCTACAGATACGTCTGGCGATTCGCCTTGCGTGTCAACTTGCGGTCATTGTGCCACAATTATGTTTTTAGCGCTGTTTCTGTGGTGGTTACTGTTACTCTGGAATACTCTTTTACAGAGGTGAGTGAGAGCGTTAGTACTTACCTGCTGAGCAAAGCGGTTACTAAAAGTGCATTTTTGTTGAGTTTTGCACGACGAAGCAGAATTGTGGGGATAGGAGAGGCATACTGCATGCGTGCATAATTCCGTCTTAATTCTCTGTGCTGGCATGGCCAAATTCAAACACATGCGATTGAATTGTTTTTTGTTTAATTGACCGAACTCATTGGTATATTTTTCTGAAAAGTGTAGTTATGATGCTGTTTAACGTTTATCATCATTGTAACTCAGTCTGGGAAATAAACGCTGGGTGAAACTTTTCACCCATTTGCCTTTCTGCTGTCACCTGCCGTGCCGTGGTAGGCCATATTTGAATAGGATAAAATGCGAAGAACACCCGTGTGGGTGGAAACTGATTCGCAGACCTCCACCACGGCGCGCCAGATTATCATATGCTAGTAGCGGCACGTAGGACCGACTCCAGCAATTGTGCATCACCGTGGTTTACACATGAACTGTGCAGTGGTGTCACGTTTGCGAGAATGTTGAAAAATCAGCTGTCATGCTTTTTCATGCGCCTCGTTCAATTGATGAGTTTTAATAGTACCATGTGAAACTAAAACGCGTATGCTTACCAAGTATATCGACGCAAAAAGAAATTCATTATTTGTGTACACTCTAAGGTATTTGATAAAGCGAGACTATTTAAAGAAGCACAGATCTTTGTATTCGTGACAAACTGGTAGTATAAAACAACACGAGAGACCCACGGCAGTGTGGGGAGCCTTGCGCAGGTGCCCGGCGACAAAAAAAGAAAGAAAATATTTTACTATTCACCAATAAAACAAAAAATAAACGTCAATCCTGCATTGCTTGCATCAATCATAGGTAAAAGTAATTGCACGGGACTGGCGGCGGCCGGCTAGACTGAGCGTTTGCATGCGCGCTTGCAAGACCGCGTGGTTGAGGAGAAACTGGAACACCGTGGGAGAAAGTTTGCTCCATCGGTCCTTGCCATGAGAGGGTGCGAGCGGTAAAGCACCCGAAAGGAACAAAATCGCTGCGCTGAAGGAGAAACGGAGCTCGTTGCTCCATTCTCGCTCCCCCCCCCCTTTTTTTAGAGCGTATTCAATCCTAACGCTTGGCATCATTGTAGTGAAGGCTTCCATCGAATGGCAATGATCACTAACAAAACGAAAGCATTTTTGAAACTGACTCTAGTTCTCTAAAATACCCGGATCACCCGGATAAATAGTCGGATAAATACACGGATTACTTACACACCGTAGCTTTGTGTGTACAAAACTAGCAATGATGGTGGCGATATATTCTCTGACGCTTAGTCCAACCACAATGTGATTGAAAGCGTGATTGCGAAACGTAGGTGTGTTCTTAGATGCAAACATGAATGATTACGTGCTAACTATTGTGTCTGTTTTGACGTTTGCGCGAACACTTATGTACACCGTAGTATATTGTTCACTGCCGCTGAGAACCAGATTAACAGTCTCTCAGCTTAAACTATATAGCCGACACGAGATGTCGTTACCCGCAATACCTAATTAGCTTTAGTAAAAATACCGGAAGTTTGAATTTTACTATATTTTGCATAAGGGAAATCATTCATTTTCAATGCAAGAGAAGTTATACTTTCAGCAAGACAGATCAATGTGGCGAGTGTGAAGGTTCGCTAAATTCCTTTCAGCTGATTGTCACGCACAGCAGCGTCCTTTGCGTCCATTTTTGTGAGTTTTTTAGTTTGTTTAGACAAGCTCTGCCCAATAATTCTTAACACTCATCGCAAAGAGTAACAGTCACTATATATATATATATATATATATATATATATATATATATATATATATATATATATATATATATATATATATATATATATAGTATAACTCATCCCCTGATGAAGGGAGGTCCCCTCCCGAAACTGTTGGGAAATAAATATATTTATCCTTGTTGACAACGCTCCCGTTGTGCCATATCCAGTATAACTCATCCCCTGATGAAGGGAGGTCCCCTCCCGAAACTGTTGGGAAATAAATATATTTATCCTTGTTGACAACGCTCCCCTTGTGCCATAACCCATACCTTCACGAAGACTAACTGGCCCATTGAATTATTACTCCCACTATATATATATATATATATATATATATACGTTACGTTACGATGCACGCTTAAGATAACATCAAATCAAGCACCGACTCAAATGTCTGCCAAGATAACCTCAGGCTGAAAGAGACGCAGAATACAGCTGTATTGTAGCACAGATCACTATTGGGCATTCAATAAATATTGTGCAATACAGCTAATTATTAGTACACCACTACTGACGTTCACAGCTGAAGTCCTGCGTTAAAAAATCGGAGGTTGTATACCAGACCCAGAATGCGTTACCCTTCCAGCCCTCCTCTCTCTCCAACTTGTGGGGCTCTTGTCTATTTAATGATTAGGCTCAGTGTAGAATGAGACACGCTCTATAAACCAAAGGGGGTCCCACGGAGCTGCGGTGATGAACGCCAAGTTAATTTTCTGGCCGCGGCCGGCGCAGGGAGTTGGAGAGTTCGTTCGAGTCGTGGCCGCAGGATCACCTGGAATATGAACACCCGACAAGCCAGGAGATTGACCTGCGGTCACGCAGCATGCAGACGCAGCTGCGTGCCGAGCAGACCGCGCCGAACGAGCCCGTCATCCGCACCGCCGTCGAGGCGCCGCTTGAGGAAAATGCCGGCGGGTACGTCTGAAGAACTTCATTGCCTGACGATTTCTCTTCAGTGCACGCAGAACAGCTCCAGTTCTACGTGTTTTGAATGCTTGTTCATGCGGATAGCATGATGACATGCGAAATAGTTGCCACTGCAATTACTGATTTACTTAATTTTCCTATAAACGCCTAAATAATGACTTCAGAGGGCTAGCATGTCATATATTAGGAACAGTGTTCAGTCAACTTTAAACGCGTAAAACTTCGCAGCGAAAACTTCGCAGCGTTTCATGAGTGCCTAAATTAGTGTGAGTGATCAATAGCTCAACAAGTGCGAAAAGCTGGACGGCACAATAGAATAGGCAAGCTGAACATATATAAGTATATATATATATATATATATATATATATATATATATATATATATATATATATATATATATATATATATATATATATATAGTCAAGTAGATCCTCCGTGAGCGGTCACAACGGGGTTTATATCGATCGACGTTTTGGCCTTTAGCCTATAGTCTAGCCTTCATCAGTATATATATATATATATATATATATATATATATATATATATATATATATATATATATATATATATATATATATGTGGTGTGTGTGTGTGTGTGTGTGTGTGTGTGTGTGTGTGCGGTGTGTGTGTGTGTGTGTGGGTGTGTGTGTTAAGAAATAGATTACCTTTGAATTTCCGCTTCATATTTCGCGGGAGGGGGGAGGGGGGAAGGCTGGACAGAGAAAAAAATAGTGAACTTGCGCAGAACCAACCATTACATGCAGCAGATTTGATGGTGCATTTATCTAAACCTCAGCTTCACACTATAGAGAGCCAACGAGAATGTCTTAAGGGTTTCTGGCTGACTTTATTCGCGTATTCAGTACTTTCTTTTTGAATTGGGGTATTTAAAAAGTAAAAATATTGCCATTTTGACTTGAATTCACAATTGCTATTCTGAAACAGTAGTCGCGTAAGCATGTGGTATATCATCGCAGAAACAAACCAATATTACAAAAAATATCATTCACCCCATAAGCTGAAAGAGACTACTTTTTAACTGTGCTACGTTTTAAGGAAAGAATTGGTAACGTAAGGACTCCTTTTTTTATTATACACGATATTTATGTAAACTGAAAAGATATGAATATGCCAAGGAAAGTATATGGGATGTTATATTCAGTATTTATGACGTAAATGTTGGGAAAGTGAAGAAAAAGCGAACTTGTCTCTGGCAGACACCAAACCAGTGACCTTCAAATCACGCGTACGATGATCTACCAATTGAGGTAGAGCAGTGCTCATCTCCCCCGTCCACCTGAGAGAGTTTATGCCAGCGCCGCTACTAGCCATGACGGCGAGTGCGGAATATTCATTTGCTGCCTAGTAATAGCATCCTCTGTACTTTCCTTGGCATCGTTGTGCGTTAGTTCTTATAAATAGTGTCCTAAGTTTTGACACTGCATACAGCAGAAAGGAGCCTTATCCTATCAGAAATGTAAGCCCTCAATTTCACCGGCCGGCAAGCGCGTATCTATGAGCATCACATATATGACTCTCCGCACTAGCGATACGGCGGCGAATATAGGCACCGTCTTCGATTAAAGCGTATAGAACCTGCAAACTGCGCTGCAGGAAAATTTTGTACATTGTTTCAAGTGTTTATCAGCTTTCACAGTTATTGCTCGTGCACTAACGCTTTCGAAACATGTGCATGACATTGTACATGTAGATAGTTGAATAAAAACTACATTTTTGTAATTGAGCACGGGGCCCTGTCTTCTACTCTTTGGTTTTCTGCCACGCACCGCACAGTTTATTGACGTGAGTGACGATGTTCACTTTTGTAGTGAACTGAATTTCACAGCGGCTAACTCTATAGTTCACGGCTCGGCTTTATTAGCGGCATGGTAAGTAGCCCAGTCTTTCAGTCAGAATGCGCATGTTACAATAACCATGCGACTAAAGCTTAGTACGTCTGAACAAAACCTTCGAAATGTGTTCTGCGACCGAAATTACATATTTAGCAAGGAACAAGTGCGTAAAATATTCTGTGAGAAGTATGCCAGTTCTCACTGGCCAGGTCTTCATAAGTGCATGCATGGGGTCTACAGGATTAGATCGGGAAACAACGCTGCTTTTAAAAATGCATTCATATACAACGATCGACGATGTTGCCTCTGTAACAATCTCAGTCACCTATAAAGTTAATATCACTGCTCTCACGCAGAGAAGAGTTGTGGTTCGACTTCCAGAGGCTGCTGGGAACTCCACCGAACCGCAGTACCTTTCTGGCCTCGATGGCTGTGCTCATGGGCGTGTGCTTCATATTGGGCGTCATCATATCACTTGCGGCTAAAGGTATATACACGGCGCGCTCCTTGACGGTCCAGTTAATAAGCGTGTCTGCTACAGCCATGCACAGTGTTAGGTTAACCACAATGTTCACGCGTCACTGTCCCAGATGGAATGAATCAACGAACACACACACACACACACACACACACACGAGATCTAACAGACAATCATTCCAAGGAAGGTACAGGGGAAGTTAGGCAAATTGTAATGTAAATGAGGAGAAAGAAAAGTGGGTGAAAAGATAACTTGCCGTGGGCAGGGTCCGGCATTTTCTGTTAGATCTCAATAATATTGTGTAAAACACGAAAAAAGAGCCCTTAAATATACGCTTGTTTCTCTTATATATATATATATATATATATATATATATATATATATATATATATATATATATATATATATATATATATGTATATATATATATATATATAAGGGAAAGAAGTGTATACCTAAGGGCTCGTTTTTCCGTGTTTTTAACACAATAATAATGAGATATAACAGACAGTAATGCCAAGGAATGTACAGGGGAAGTTATTAACATTAATAGAATGTAAATAGGAAGAAGAAAAGTGGATGAAAAATCCACTTTTCTTTCTTCTTATTTACATTCTATTAATGTTAATAACTTCCCCTGTACATTCCTTGGCATTACTGTCTGTTATATCTCATTATATATATATATATATATATATATATATATATATATATATATATATATATATATGTATGTATATATATACTGGAACCTAATTAAGAAGCGTCAAATCATGAAAGTCTCAAGTACAACAGACAAAATAAAACTGGCAGAGCTTTCGAAGTTGATTAATAGGCGTAAGGTATCCGATGTAAGAAGGTATAACATGGAGAGAATCGAACATGCTCTGAAAAACGGAGTAAGCGTCAAAGCAGTGAAGAGGAAACTTCGGATAGGCAAAAGTCGGATGTATGCACTAAGGGACAAAGAAGGCAAAATAACTACCAATATGGATAGGATAGTTAAAATAGCGGAGGAGTTTTACAGAGATCTGTACAGTAGCCGAGACAACTACGACCTTAATACTATAAGAACTAGCAGTAACCCAGATGACACCCCACCAGTAATGATAGAAGAAGTCAGAAAAGCTTTGGAGAGCATGCAAAGAGGCAAAGCTGCTGGTGTGGATCAGGTAATATCAGACCTGCTGAAAGATGGAGGACAGATTGTGTTAGAAAAACTAGCCACCCTGTTTACGAGGTGTCTCCTGACGGGAAGGGTACTAGAGTCTTGGAAGAACGCTAACATCATCTTAATACATAAGAAAGGGGATGACAAGGACTTGAAGAATTACAGGCCGATCAGCTTGCTCTCTGTAGTATACAAGCTATTTACAAAGGTAATTGCTAACAGAATAAAGAAAACATTAGAATTCAATCAACCACAGGAACAAGCAGGATTTAGAACAGGCTACTCAACAATTGACCACATTCATACTATCAATCAGGTAATAGAGAAATGCTCAGAGTATAACCAACCACTATACACAGCCTTCATAGATTACGTGAAGGCGTTTGATTCAGTAGAAATATCAGCTGTCATGCAGACACTGCGAAATCAGGGCGTAGATGAAGTATATATAAACATCCTCGAAGAAATCTACAGGGGATCAACTGCTACCATAGTGCTTCATAAAGAAAGCAGCAGAATACCAATCAAGAAGGGTGTAAGGCAGGGGGACACAATCTCCCCAATGCTATTTACCACGTGTTCACAGGAGGTTTTCAGAAGCCTAGAATGGGAACAGTTAGGGATAAGAGTTAATGGAGAATACCTTAGTAACTTGCGCTTCGCCGATGACATTGCATTGCTGAGTAACTCAGGGGACGAATTGCAACTCATGATTACGGAGTTAGACAAGGAGAGCAGAAAGGTGGGTCTTAAAATAATCTGCAGAAAACGAAAGTAATGTACAACAACCTCGGAAAGGAGCAGCGCTTCGAGATAGGTAATAGTGCACTTCAAGTTGTAAAAGACTATGTCTACTTAGGGCAGGTAATAACCGCAGAGCCTAAGCACGAGATTGAAGTAACCAGAAGAATAAGAATGGGGTGGAGCACATTCGGCAAGCACTCTCAAATTATGACAGGTAGATTGCCACTATCCCTCAAGAGGAAGGTATATAACAGCTGTATCTTGCCGGTACTTAGCTACAGAGCAGTAACCTGGAGACTTACAAAGAGGGTTCAGCTTAAATTGAGGACGACCCAGCGAGCAATGGAAAGAAAAATGGTAGGTGTAACCTTAAGAGACAAGAAGAGAGCAGAGTGGATTAGGGGACAAACGGGGGTTAAGGATATCATAGTTGAAATAAAGAAGAGGAAATGGGCATGGGCCGGGCATGTAGCGCGTAGACAGGATAACCGCTGGTCATTAAGGGTAACTAACTGGATTCCCAGAGAAGAAAAGCGGGTTAGGGGGGAGACAGAAGGTTAGGTGGGCAGATGAGATCAAGAAGTTTTCGGGTATAAATTGGCAGCAGCAAGCACAGGACCGGGTTAACTGGCGGAACATGGGAGAGGCCTTTGTCCTGCAGTGGACGTAGTCAGGCTGATGATGATGATGATAATGATGATGATGATGATGATGATGATGATGATGACCGGAGCGTAGTGGCGCCAGCTCTGTGCCAGCGTAAAAGAATACGTTGGCGTCCATGGGGCTCGCGCTTGCCGCTTTCCTGCCTGAACCAGCTTGACCAGCTTGTTCCGGCTAACACTGCATGAATAATAACATGTGTTTATACGTGAACTCGCTCGTTGCATTTGGTGGAAACGTGCTGGGTAACGTCCTTGAGCCCCGCAGCCGTAAGCTACCGTCTCATTCCACTATGACCGAGTGCGTCGATCCCCCTCAAGCCTCTTCCACGCCGCCGCCTGTCATGTGCCCTGGTGTACTTCGTCTGCGTGACCCACCAGTCTACAACGGCACTGAAGATCATGATCTCGAGGACTGGCTGGCAGAGTACGATCGTGCCAGCGCAATTAACAAGTGGGTTTACCCTGCGAAGCTGACTGAACTCATCTTCTACCTGACATTGGCCAATCTATGGTTCACCAACCACCAAGCCGACATCCCCACCTGGTCGGTCCTCAAAGAGACCATGACCCAGTTTTTTGGTCGTCCAGCTATGCCCAAATTTCACGCTGAACTTGGTCTGCGGGGACGATCTCAGCGAAATAGTGAGAGCTTCACGAGCTATATTGAAGATGAAATTGGCCTCTGTAGACGAGTGGATGCGAGGATGACGGAGGCTGACAGAATAAAGCATATAATGGAAGGCATTGATGACGACGCTTTTCGTATGCTTGTGGCCAAACACCCGGAGACCGTCACGGTCATGATTCATCTCTGTCAAAGTTTTGATGAGCTGCCCAAGCAGCGAATTTCTACACGTCGCGCTCTCACGCAAACAGCGGATATTTTGGCTTTGGAGTGCAAAAGCAGTGGCCCCTACTACACCAATTTGATGCCTCAAGTTCAACAGTACATCCGAGAGGAAGTTCTCTACAGCTCTCTCTTTAGTTTCGACAGCTCTCTCATTCGGTTCCTGCCGTGGACAGGCGCCGAATATGCGACCTTTGAATAACTAAGGTCGCAGGTTCGGTTCCTGCCCATGCCAAGTTATCTTTTGACCCACTTCTCTTTTTTCACATTTGCCTAACAATTCGGATTATAACCTCCCCTACACTTTCCTTGGCATTATTGTCTCTTAGATTTCATTATTTTTGTGCAAAACACGGAAAAACGAGCTCTTAAGTATACACTTCCTTCCCTTATTGACTAACGAGGGTCTCGTACTGGCAGACTTGGTGCCTTTAGGTTGTTTACGAAACTCTTGGTCAGCTGCCAGCTCGTAGTAAACTTCACATGCTACATGACGCCAAACAGGCTCGTAAAAAGTGTGCCACGCTCGCCGCCATGGCTACTGGTGGCGCTGACTGACACTCCCACGTTTAAATTTACATATTTACTCATTAAAGTGGCTAAGGGTGGATAGCCCCCTTGGTAGCTCAGTAGTAGAGCATCGAACGCAGTATTCGAATGTTATTTGTTCGGTTCCTGCCCACGGCAAGTTATCTTTTCACCCACTTTCTTCACATTTGCACGACAATTTTGCCTATTACTTCCCCTATACTTTCCTTGGCATCATTGTCTGTGAGATTTTGTTATATATACAGGTCTGTGTGAGAGCGGAGAGACAAAAGCATTAGCGGAAGAGAATTTATTCACTCTGATCGGGCGCAAACAAAGCACACTCGCGAGTACGTATAGATATATATAGACCGCAGCGACACCTCGAAGACTTTTCTCAAGTGTGACGATCATCTAAATGCTGCACTCCTGCGGCTGTGCAGCGGGTCAGGGCGAAAAAGGAAACAACCTGGAGCTGATTCCCGATGCCTTCGACAACGATCAGGAGGTATTAGCCTGCGAGAACTCCGACGTCACGGTGTCCACAGCACGCCCGGAAAAGACAGAGCCGATGACAGGTAGTATGCATGCTCTTTATGCGATGAATGCACGTACGTACCTACAGAGTATAGGTTACTTGTATACGTGGTCAGTATCAAGTAGCAGTCTAGCCTAAGGCACTACCAGCTTCGCTCTCATTTTTCCGCGCATGCGCCCCAACTATATTCAGAACGACATGCTGGCGCAAACAGCTTGCGAGAAGCAACTGCTCCTGCGCAATATACACAACGTCCTTGTAGACACCAGGCCGTACTCAGGACGCTGGCCTAGTTTGGAGTCATTGGGGTTTACCATTTGAAAGCCACGATATGAATATAAGAGACGCCGTGTATAGTGTATGCATGACCTGTGGAAGGTTCAAGCATTCGGAGTTTTTTAACGCTAACCTAAATCTAAGTACACAAGCCTGAAGTATTCTCACCTCCGTCGAAAATGCGGCTGCAGCGGCCGGAACTAGGTGCTGCGACCTGCGGGTGAGCAGCCGAGCAAAATAACTTCGACCACTGTGGCGGGTTAGGACACCGGTGTGATAAGGCGCAACGGAGTTGCGGGTGACGTAAACTGACGGTGTTTTGTTTAGAGTGCACCGTAAGGTCTAAGCTTCAAATAGGCTTGCTAGTGCGCATGCCCGGGCTTCCTGTCTTAGAAGTGCGCGCCTTTAACTTCTATTGAACAATCTTTCTATCTCTCAGCGTGGGTCGCGATCGGACAAGGCTCCATGGCGTAGCCGGAAAATCTTTCTGGAAGGAGCACGCCCTTGATCAAGAAGGATAAATTGTGTGTTTTCTAGTGTTATTTTATTCTGTACACGTATCATTGCACATGAAAATTATTTCGGTTGTCCCACAGCCTGGAAACGCTGTAGTCTATCCTGTATGGGCCCTTCAACAAGGCGTGGCTAATAGCGCGCTTTAGGGAGAAGTGATTCTTAAATTATTGAAAAGAAGAGAATTGTAATCCTAGCAACTGTCTCCATATAAGTGCAACACCTCAGCAGTGGCTCACCAAGGAAAGGGATAAGTAGGGGTTAAAAGGATTGAGTGTGTAGTGAAGATAAGAAAAAAAAAGGATAGGGACACCGGTGAAGGAGTCTGAGGACGGGGTACCACTAAGCGAGAGCTTCGCGGCGTCAAGAGATGGTGGAGAGGGAACCGGTCGGCCAGAGCTGCGCTGTCGTCTAAGTCCTCTGGGGCACAACCATTCGGCATGAAATCCAGCATGCGGGTCCTAATAGCCCGCTCGACTTGGCGGAGTTCAACAAAAGCACCGGCTTTGTCGACCTATAGCCATATCCATAACCGTAACCAAGCTTTCGTGCAGCTTTAGGTTGACCACAAGGGAGCGCTGAACTAGGCTGGCTGCTACAGAGCGAAGCAGAACAGCCCGACAACAGGACGTAGTAAAGATCACAGATACAGTGCTGACTGACGATCATTGTCACGCGCATAAAAAAACACGCTATTGGAATATAGAACGAGCGAGTATTGACCGCGGACTATCGTACATTTCACAATCGTTATTAGCTGGATGGAAAGATATAGGGGAGTACACTCACACATGCGTCATCATGGCCTATCTCAACCGCTGTGGGATTTACACGTCAGCAGCGTTCTGTCGGTATTGCACCAACACTCGGCGCACATATCGCGCGAGCATGCTGTCGATACGCTTGGGCATCGCGTCGGCTTGAACGTGTCTCCAGTGTCCAGATATTATGAGCGCGACAAGTCTTTTCATCCTTGCACATATCATAATCATTTGTACATCTTCGTTATCTCTACATGTCATCATCAATGTAATTTAGTGCGAGCCTGAATCAATAATGCGCTTGCTCATAAATGGTGGAGGTGCGCAAAACTTGGTTAACAACACTCAATTTCACAATAAAATACTCGCCGACCCACCGATTTACACATTCGCAACTCCAGGCAGGCACCACATTTTCGATCGTTTCCTTTAACTATAGCGTCACTTCTGGGACGCATTTATTGACTTTGCCGGCAGAAGCGCATATACACATATATACCACTCTCACTTACAAATATTACACACCTATCGGTTATATAGCTGCGATTACAGCATGAGAGCCGTGGCGCCGACTTGTGAGTGAAAGTGCTCAGATATAAGAAAGTCTCATAATACGACTCCGGAAACAGTAAGTCCCGCAGGCGCTCAGCAACTTATAGGCCTCTATCTACACCTGCGGCCGCTTCGTAGCAATACCCAGCGGCGGTGGGTGTATAGGTCGCGAGTACATTACGCATGGGCCGCGACAATGGAGGCAATTGTAATGACCCTTGGATGCTACGCGTCCTCCGCAGCTGCTCGCAGGAAGGCTACAGTTTCACGGCGACAAAGGAGTGCTACCGTCGTGTTCGCCTCCCGAAAGTCAGCGATCAAAGCACGCAAGGTGGGCAGAGCTGCGCCGCGGCGTCGGAGGCGCCTATTGAAGAGCACGACACGCAAGCGCAGTGTGCGATCTTCAACGAGTCGCCGGCTGAAAATCACGACGCGAAAGAAGAAGAGACAGCATACTGCGGCAGCGAAGGCACGACGCCATGGTATGTCTATATGCTACCTCCCAAAATTACATGTATGCATAAGTGTATAAAACACTCATACATCATTTCACCCAAACACAAAGCACTGAAAGCGAAGACAAAGCTTCACGTTATGGGCTTTAACTTTTGTCAGTGTGTTCTAGCAATATCTTTCTCCTACGCTGCCTGAAGATGTTTCCATAACTAGCCCGACCAGCATGCTTGCACAGTTTCAGCAGTTTGTGAAAAGATGGAGCAACGCAACACAATCAGAGAAAGCGCACCAGATAATAATAAAAATAAAAGGAGCAATCAAAGAAGCCAGCTAGGGGCATCACCGAAGAGGGGGAAGAGGGTTCTATTGCCTTTTATGCATTTGCGTGTATGTAGACCAAAAGATTTTGGAATTGTGATATATAGTGTACGTAGCACGTTGAAACAATATATTCATCCAAGTTAAACTGTGCTCCATGTTTAACGCTGATAAAATACCTTCATCCAGTCACACTATTCTATGTAGCTCTCTATAGTTTTGTGACAGTTAATTTGTTGCGGGCGCGTGTGCGCGTGTCGCCTCTGTCTCTCACAAACATATAATTACCTAAAAAACTCGCAAGTTCTCTCATGTACACGCCCAAGACGATTCGAAGACGAAAGCCATCTTCATCTTCTTCTCAGTCGATTGCAGTAATCCTTACTCCCTCGCATTTTTCAGCATTCTCTTTTCTGGTACAAATGCTCAGAAGCTGCCATCAGTCGCACGAGTGAAGCCTTAAGACGGCTGGAAACACAATATCATTTGTTTGTAATCCACACATTCAAAACCTTATAACAAATCTCGCACTTTAGGTGGAGCACTTGTATCCGTATGTCACGCTAAATACTTGTCCTCAAGTCAATGGGTATGTAAACAATTCTAGAAATTAATTCAGGGTCTCTTTATTTCTTTCCGTGCATGAATAACGTGAACGGTAAATTTTAGTACGCTTATTATACAGAATGAAAGAAAATCACAATATATTTATATCTTTACATAATAGGATGCCTTCGGGAACAGTTGCACCGATAGTGATGCTTCTCACCTTGGTAAATCCTTCTTTCATCCCTTTATTGCCACTTGTTTTTCATCACTTTCAATATTGGCTGCACTGTCATTACTCTGCATGGAACAATACAGCGCCAAAATTTGGAATACTCATTGGGTACCTGGTCTGAAATTGCGCGTACCTAAAACCACCCAGGTACGGGGAGTTTTGCCATGCGCGAACACGTCACGACCAAGAAGGGACAACGCAGCAGTGTGACTACAGAAGCCCCCGACAGTTCCATTACAGAGCAGAGGTAATAGCGACGGCTTTCACACCATCTTTCTTTTGCTTTGCTCGCTTTTCTAAGCCATATAATAGGTCCTATAAACACACTTGATGTATTTACTTGAACGACAAACACTGATTTCTTCAACTGAACGATATCGCATTATGTCATTAAGTGATGAGACCATGTTGGGCCCTTGGCCAGACACCAACAGTGCAACTGTGGTCATAAGAGCGGTTTTAACCTTTTCGGAAGCGACTAGACTATACGCGCAGCTATAAAAATTTTCTCAGCTAGAAAGAATTCTATATACTCATCTCTCTATCTCACCATCGTCATTCAATAATAATTCTTCTCCCCTTTCCTCTCCCCCAGTGTAGAGTAGCAGGCTAGAGCAAGCTATCGGTCAGTCCAACCTCTCTGCCTTTCTAAAATAAACCTCTTTTTCTCTCTCTTACTTTTCTCGCCACGAACAGAGACAGCTTTTCTAATATGATGTGCAATAGTGGTAACGTAGGTGGCTCATTCTGGTGCTACATCGCATGCATCGCTTCCCGAGCCTATCAACACTGTGAGTTAGCATCAACGTACAAGGGCGGAACGAAAGACGAACTACACAGCCAACTGCGCACAGCACGCTCTGATCTTTGTGGCAATAAATAGGAAGTATAAGGGTTCTCGTTTGCATCACGGATGAATCCTAGTGGCTTTTTATTGCAATCCAGACCTACAACCACCTGAAAAGAAGTACGAAACAGCAAGGAAGGAACATGTCGCACAGTTCGGGTTTCTTTCCTTCCTACTGTAATAATACTAATAATAATAATACTACTAATAATAATAATATCTGGAGTTTAACGTCCTCTAACAACCATGTGATTATGAGAGACACCTAAGTGAAGGGCTCTGGAGAATTATACCACCTGGGGTTTTTTAACGTGCACCCAAATCTGTGCCCACGGGCTTACAGCATTTTCGTCTCCACCGAAACGGTAGCCGCCACAGCAGGGATATTCATTCTTATTGTGAAATGCTCAGTTACTAAAACGCCACACTCGGAGCGCGTGGCTGCCCCAGTAAGAACTAGGGCGTTCGTGACAAATTGCGGCTGCATCCAGACAGCCAGAGGTTCTTGGTGACGCCGGAGAAACACTACTTGCCATGGCTTAAAGACGCCCACGGGCCCCGCCACGTGACGATGCAGGAGCTGGCAGATGCGCATTACGAAGGAATGCATCATCGTGCCGGCGCCACCGTGAGCCTCATAGAAGCATTGTATACCGGATGCACTCACCAAGAATCAGAAACACTCTCGTTCTCTTCGCCACCCTCACCACCTACAGCCACACTCTCCGAGTATCGCGTTTCCATTCCAAGCGCATGGTCCGTCACACCACCGGGCTTTGCCAGGCGTGTGTGCTGAGTAATAGTGAGACTGCACTTGAGTGAGTGCCTACGGGTATATATATATATATATATATCTATATATATATATATATATATATATATATCTTGCCAAAATCGGCCCTACTGGTCGTACAACTATACGCGTCAGTCGAACCTTGAGCTGCCTTCTTCATCCTCCTTTCCACGAGAAGTCCCGAGCGCGTGGCGCATATCTGCATGGTCCAGCAGCTGGGTGCTCGTGCCATCGTCGTCTAAGCACGGCATAAGACGATGCGCATGTGTGTCCCTGTGCGTGCGGTGATGGGCGCGTTGTTGGAATGCAGGCAATATAGTGGGGGGCGTAAATGTGAGGGAATACCTATGAATGTGACTAGTCGTGAATGCGAACATCAGTGAGCGCGAGCATGCCGCACAGAAAACGTGGTGATTCACACAGTGAGAGGTCGTGCTAAGGAAGTGAGAAACCTTAATGGTACTGACGTTGATATATAGCGTTGGTTGACTAGGCAAGCGGTATGAGGCCAAAAAAAGGCTTTATTGCAATATCGTGTTAGCGCAATAACAGCGATTTCAAGTTGGAAGAACAGAGAAAACTAACAATCAGAAAATGAGATTCAACTTTTTCTTCTAGATATAACTGTAACTCATGCTGCGCTTTGCGATTGGCTGGCATGTCGAATGCGCCAAGCATCATGCGGTTAGCATTCTGAAGCTGCGTCGTTCGTGTACGCTGTGCGTCCTCGCGCCACGGCGCACGATTGCGTCGGCACCTGTCTCTCCGCGGCGGTGATTGCGGCACCTCCTCTCTGCCTCTCGGAGAGCGCTGATTGTTCGGTATTACTGCGTTCGAGATGCACTTTTAGAAAGTTACTGAGATACAGGACGCAAATACGGTACGGGACGTTACTGCTACCCCTCTCTCGCTCACTGTATATTTTTCGGTGCTCTCAACTCCAGTAAAAGCACCCGAACACCATGAAGGCTTTTTTAAAAAACAACTGTTCAAGGTGTCACGCCTTTTCGCTACCTGTCAGCCTGCGCATTTGTGATGATTCTGTCCATCGGGCTAGGTACTTTAATAAGATCCTACATGAGCGCTCTTCGCGTATCTCGTTATTTTGCGCTCAAACATAATGCAGGGCACACTTTAGGCACAATGCGCCGGAGAGGAGAAGCGTTACCACAATCGCATGCCATATTCGCGTGCCGTATTTGCGTAACGTGCAGGGGCGTAGCCGAATACTGGCCCCGTCGCCCACCCCCCTCGCCGAGAAAATAGTTCTAATTGCATGCATGCATGGTAACTCTTTAATATGCTATTTTAATTGGAGGCGGAGTCTCCGTAACACGGACAACGTGCGCTCAGAAACTATATATAAATGCGCCTGATAATGTAATGCCAACCTGTGCTCGCAAGGCTGCTGCGCACGCCCAACTAAAACTGTCTGTCGACAAATTAAGATCACTTTACGCTTCTTTTTACGCGCTCCAAAAATACGATTGATGCAGTAATTTACCAAGGGTGATTCTTTCCTGGTTGCAGATTTTGGCTGCACTGCTGAACGCACAATATACCGCTTTGAAATGGCGTTTTCTTTACTGCCTTATGATATTTGCAGCAATATATTGAAGGTGCAGCGTGTGCCCACTCACGCAAACGTTATTAAAATCAGTTAGCGTGCAGAACAACCCGACATACAAAATAAATCGAATGACCTTTGTTCAATATAAGCTAATTTGAGGAGGAGATAAAGTACGGCGCTTAGAGAATGGCGCGTACGGCACTTAAATGTCGTGATTTCTCAGTTGTCGTTTCATTGGCGCACAGCGAATACATACCGGGGTTCCCACCTTCTTGTTCATCAAAATGTACGTTCGGAGATAAAGTATTTGAGAGTGATGCAAGGATAAAATACTGATTTTCGAAAAAAAAAATATGCACGTTCAAATGCTAGTATGTTTTGATTGCTCGTTCATAAAAGAAGATGTTCACCAAGTTTGGTGACTATCTGGGCAGTATAGCTAATTCTTCCACTAGATGGTGGCGCGCATTTGCTGCTGAAAACATATCTGAAACATATTTTGAAGAAGCAGCTCCTACGCGGGCAAAGAGGCTGAATGCGAGTTGGACGCCCGTGTACATTTTCTTGCCTTTTAGCAATGGAACAGTTTCTATGGGCACTGAACTATGGAGGACAAACGGAAGTATTTTTGTGAAGGAATATTTGCAGTCTTGGCGACAGCGGAGCCGCAAGAAATAGGACCTGGAGCAAGATTTTGCTGAGACTAATCTCGTGAGAAATCTCGGTACACCATTGTTATATTGAAAATTTATAAATTCATCTGCTTGCGCACCAGTTCTGAAGAAATCTGGTACTCTTATCTAAACGATCACGCTACCACTGCTTATATAGTCCGAATACTCTTGCCGTTAACTATGCTGAGTTGGTCAAATCCCGCACATTGGAGTGGCAAGTGATTCTATAATTTCAAGCTGTAGAACTGACTCATGCTAGCTTCGCGCGGCTACCATAAAAAATAGATAACACTTTCCGCTGTGCCTAGTCACTACACACACACACACACGCACCACACGCACACTCACACGCACACGAACGCACACACACACGCACGCACACACGCACACACACGCACACGCACACGCACGCATACACCCACACACGCACATACCCACACACCCACACATAAACACACGCACACGCACACACACACCACAAAACACACGCACACGCACACACACACAACAAACGCACGCGCGCCCGCTCACGCACGGACACACACACACACGCATACACACACACACGCACACACACCACCCACACATACACACACGCACACGCACACACACACACACGCACACACACACACACACGCACACGCAGCACACAACACACACTCACGCACGCACGCACACACACACCCGCACGCACGCACACACAACACACACGCACACGCACACACCACGCACCCGCCCACGACAGACACACACCCAACACGCACACGCACGCATACAACACACACACACGCACACACACACACACACACATACACACACGCACACAGAGAGAGAGAGTGTGTGTGTGTGTGTGTGAGAGAGAGATCTCAATTGTAACATTATTTAACAAAACTCATCCAAATACCTACCGAGCTTTTTGGCAGAGTAAAATACGACGTGCAAAAATATTGGTCTTAAAACTTGTTGTTGGGCTAGTTTTTATTCGTCATATTGTAAGATATTGACGCAATTTGAACTCTCAAAAACACTCACACAAACACTCGCACATCCACCCGAGTAACACGCACAAAACTCAGCGCTCTATGCCAACTGTTTATTGCTCGTAGATGAGTGAGTGTTTTTGGGGTGTTTGCGAGAGTGAAGGTGTCGCTAAATATCTTACAATATGCGAAAATTTTGTCTACGATTTTGAGTTCAGCAGGTAAGGCAGGCCTCGCTTACATACAAGTGTGTGAGCATAGCCAACTAGAAAATGCGACTGTGATGTGCATGTCGTAAGCTGTGAAGAGCCCTGCGGAAATCGGCATGAAGTTTCCGTAATTTTTTATGATCCTTATGGATAAATGATAACATGTTGATAGCT